TGTGACCTTTCTCATGTGTGTATCCCAAGTTAAAATACACATATGTTGACCCATCAAGCCTTACAAGATTTTTCTGTATTTTCTTTAATGGGACATCGAGGTACCAGAGTGTGCTACCAAAGATTACATCTTTCCCTTTCCCTTTTCTTCCCTTTAAGCTCTCTTAGCATTTCTATTGTGCATCTTAATGATCACATTCTTAGCTTCAGGTTGCTCCAGGCTTCCACATAGATACTGCTTTTTATTTGTTTGTAATCCATTCTAAGAAATATTAAATGAGTAAACTTTTTATTGAACACCTATTTGCTCTCTAAATACTGTATGAAGATTGAACACAGTACCACAACTAGTGAAACTGTGAATGTGTTGCTTACTTCTGAACCACATCTAAAATTATAAAAAGCTGTAAATTTATTGTGACCCTTTCTTTATAAAATCTCATGAATAAAAATTATTTTTAAATACATTACACTTACACAGCACTGTACATAAAGTTTTGCATGATTTTACTCTATATAATGGGGTGGATCATCATTTGAATCATTTTAACTATTGATAGAACATTGTAATTTTCCTTCCTCTTCCTCTAGTAACCCCAAATTCATGAAAAAAACCTCCACAACAGTAATGGTCTATAATTTTTATATATATGTTTTTAATGTCTAGTGACACAGTCACTATTCTTAAATGCACTTTAACCAACGCAACCAAAGTGTTTCAGAATTGCTGTACGATGTACCACATCGTCTCAACTCTTTCTGAATACGGAACAGAAATATTTATGTGATTCTGTGCAGTGGAGATCGGTAAAACAAATTTGTAAATACTTATCCCGTAAACCTCCATCATTATGGCACAAAATTAACTATACAAACACTAGAAGAAGTGTAACTAGGATCCAGCGGGAAATTTACTGGCAGGCATTACTCTCTGCATAGAATGAGCATAAAGCAAATGTTGCTGTTGTGGCTCAATATAAAGAATAATGCTAGCTAATGAGACAGTGCTGACAACTGCTTCATAAAATAAACAGAATGGGTTTGCGATCTTTTTAATGTACAAGAGCAAAACTGAGTTTCCAACTGCACTGGAATTTAAAGGGGATTTCTCTTTGCTAATGTTACTTACGAGAACAGACAACATAGGAAATTCTCATGGCTAATCACGATTACATATACACGCATACACACACACATTTTCAAGTGTGTATTAATTACTGTCAAGTCAGAACAATGCAGGCAGAAGTGCACCACTAAATCAGATTGGTCCTGCTAACGGAAATGGAGGTCATTGCTGTTATCATTTTCACTTTGGTATAAATCCTCAGAATCTTTCATGTCCAAACATTCTAGCCCCCCAAAAAATGAAAAAGTAAATTTAGAAACAATTCATACAAGCCCACCTTCATGAGCTGCAGTGATCTTCACTTTCCCTTGCCCTTTCATCATAAATGTGGTGACACTGCTTTTGATTATTTTATCCTGAAAGACTTGTGCAGTCAAAAACATTATTGCACTGTCCAGCTAAATTAGCCTGTATGAGACTTCTTGTCAGCAAAAAAAAATAATCTTTCCAGACGCCATAGATGATCATTATATGCAAAAAAACCCAGGTATCAGTTGGCAGATGAGCTAAGAAAAGAACTTATTTGGGGCAGGAAGATGGAGTAATTAGATGTAAGAATTACCTTTCTAAAGTATTTGACTCCTGAAGGATAAAATTAAAGTTTAAAACTCTATTGTAAGAACCACAGGACTCAACCAGCCCCCAGTCTTTACCGGGAGTTAGACTGGGATAAAAATAACCAAGAGCAGCAGCATACCACTTTTGCACAGCTGGCCGCACACCTCTTACAATACCATTCTCCTCTCCAAGATATACTGAAGGATATTTCTCAACTCACGTTCATTGCAGATAAAGCAAACACGTGTCTTTTTCTAAAATGGTACACCATATTTTGCCACTGAATGTATGACAGGGTAATCATCAAAACTATCCTGACTCTCCCATTTTCTTCTAGCTTCATGGGGACATGTCCCTGGGGTGACAAACACTGCTAGTAACAAGAATCATCCCCAATATTTTTAAGGCTCTGTACATGTAGAAGCCTGCTGAAGAGAGGAAAGGCTTCTTTGCAGGAAGGCTTTATGAAAACTAGCCCTAATAAAAAAATGAAAAAAGTTTTACCGCTAAATAGCTGCTTAGCTGAATGAAACAGAAGATAAAAAGTGTGATGCCTTAACCTAACGGCCAGGGATTTTTATCACAAAAAAACCAAGTATACACTGCAGCAAATTGTCACTTACCAGAATGAAACCTGGAACAGAATGGTAAGACACTGTGAACCATAATATCCTAAAAACAACCTCTGTTAATAGTCCAAAGATTCAAATATTGGAAGTGTTAAAAAAAAATCCACAATTAGCCTCCCAAAGTTCATCAATACCTTTGCCTTGTTTTCCTGGGTTGGTTTCTTTTTTGTTAAGCTGCAGAATGAATTTTAAGAGATCCTATTGTCTCCAAAGATCAGAAAAAAAGGTCAGAAAAAAGTCTGGAAGAGAAAGGGGGGTGATACTTAACCTACCTCAGAGTTGGTTTAATATCGACTATGTTAATGTTACAATGTAATTTCTTTCCCCCCAACTCGTCTCCCTGTTTCAGAATGGATATTACAATAAATAGGGAGACGCTAAAATAATAATGTCCCTGCACCATTACTCTTTCTTGAGTGCTCCAATGCAAAAAAACAAACCAAAACATAACGAAAATCCCCCCTTTTTCCCTATCAATTTATTTGACTGCAGCAAAACTCACGCTAGGCAAGATAAAACAAAACAAACAACAACAACAACAAAAATCAATATATAAATGTATTTTAATCCCTTAAGAAATACGCCTAAATGTGGAGCCACATTAGGGAAGATAAATTCTGGCTTTAAAAGTTTGACAATAACCCCAAACAGGATCTTCTAATGTGGCAATGTCCACTCCTGACAGGCACTTAAACAGTAATGACTCAGAAATGTATGCACACGTCTACCAACACTACCTGCTAGTAGATATAATTCAGCTTGTCTGGCAGAGTTGCTAAGGATGGATTTCATTTCACTTTGCTTTTGGTAGATAACGATAAGCACCTACCCTAAGCTCGCTGTGTCACCCCTGCAGTCACTGGAAAGACACGAGCACACCTGGAAGGCCATTTATTCCATCCTAACTGAATGCCTAAGACAGCTAGCATCAATTTTCTTACAAAATACCTTTCTCTCTCTCCACTGATTACAAGCCTACATTTTATTAGGGCATCAGGCACCACAGAGGTGAGAGACTTGAAAGACAGCCCCCAGCTCTGACCTGGGTTACTGATACTGCAAACCATCGCAGCGATTTTAATTATTCACACTTGGCAATGGAATGAAAGCACTATCTTACATGTGTCACAGGAAAACTACCTCTAGATATGACTCTGCTGATTCAGTGGAGATCAGGTGTGCACTTAAACACGTGCCTGTGTGTTCTGATGATTTATCCTATGATGCTGAAAATTAGGTAGGGTATCCTAAAAACACGTCTGTGTCACACAGTACAATAACTTCATGTGATAATATCTTATCTCCACAGTGGTCTAGTTACATTAGATCAATAGTACAGCTGAGCAAAAAACCTCCACACTTCGGCAACTCCAACTCCCAAGCCCACATCTTTAGCGCTGCCTTTCTGCAGGACGCTCCAGCGCCTGTAGCTCTTATGTGTCTCATCCCCAGCTCGCGTGGCCACTGCCTCAGTCCTCAGCTAACTTTTAACAACTCATCAACATTGGTACATCCGCCCCAATGCTTCGGCTTTTGACAGAATTTCAGTTCACTGAAGGTTAATGCTAATCCATTCATCTAAGCAAGCTGTGAAGACTGAGTTACCACAACTCTCCTAAATTTTACCTCAAAAGAAATAGATGAATGCATTTGTTTTGGGACTCGTAGTTGCTGGCAGTTAGGAAGTGTTCAGAACTGAAGTATTTTCTGTGACTGAAAGCAGAGAAGACTAATGCTAACATGTTAATCACAAAGTAGTTATCTGTCTGAGGAAAATGGCATTTGCCTAAAAGCCTGTGAAAACTTCCAGAACAGAGAGCTGTCGTGCTGGTGGGAGCAGTAGGCTAGTGAGCTTTATACAGAAGTAAGGAAACAACAGAAGTAAGTCTGGCAACAGTGAGATGGCAGAAGGCAAGATAAATGTAACTGATGTGTTATCTAAACAGAGGCTCCTTTATCTAAGAAAAGGTGCTATGAAAGGTGTACTTTCAAAAAGAATATTAAAGCTTATGGAACTCATCTGATAGGAGTCTGGCAAATGGTACTAAAATCACCTACAGATGCATGCAGGGTTTTGTTTCCTCCCCCCCCCCCCCCCCCGGTGTCTTTTCCTGTATGTGTTTTGTCCAAGTACCACCATAATGGAATACGGTTTCATGCAAAGCACACTCAGGGACATCTTGCTGTTTTTACAGAAATTAGAAAACAGATATTCTCCCACTAGGAATGTGTATCAATTGGGATTAGGAGATAGTGAAAGAGGAGGCAGCATCACACCAGTAAACCAAAGCATGTCAACCTGCACTGCTGTACTATTTCACTGAACTGAAAGATAAAACAGTGAAGAGAATGATTCAATATCTTGCTCATAAATCCCAACAGGAAGGCTTAATCCTGTGCCAACAGGCTGATAATTAAGAAAATGGTAAACTTTCCTGTAATCTAAGAAAAAGAACCAGCAATCCACACTCATTCACTCACACAATTTAAGCTGCTATTTTTCAACATGAACAGACATTAAAAGTTCTGGCAGTCTGGTATCAATATGAGACACAGTCATGCTTTTCAATCCTCATTACTTCAATTATTGTTTTATAGATATATATATTAAAAAAAATAAACTTCAGTCAAAAAACAATCAACCCATGTAGGAAGCTTCTCTTAACTATAGATACTTAGTTTACTTACTTTACCACAATATTTCCTAAAGTCTTCGCCTTCACTGGTTCCTTATTTTCATCCAGAATCATCACTGCAAAAAAGTAATATAGGGAGAGAACTCTTGTCAAGTAGTGTATTTTTAGGTGGAGAACGGTGTCTTTCTTCATGGGTATCAACTTATGTCACACTTCAGAATGGCAATACACCAAGCAACAGAAGGAATTAAGTAATTTGGGAGTTCCAAACTGGATAATCTCATAACCTTATTAACATTCAGACCTAAGTACAAAAAGTCTTAACTAATACTCGTGCTTTGGGAACAGAAATAGCTCCGAGTCAAAAAGGGAAAATTATAGAACTGAAAATTAAAAGGCACCTTCATACTGGACAGTCTAAACTTCCAAATAGCAAATGACCCTGAAGGGACATGACAAATCCACGAAAAAGTGTACAGGTAACACGAGTCAGAAATAACTACTTCGATTACTAGAGGCTAACCCAGTTAATGTGAGAAATAGCGTTAGCAGTAAATAAGTGTGTCTGGTTTTCAAAGGCTCTCGGGAGACCCAGAAAGATGCTTCCCAGCTGATAAGGCTTATTCTAGTCTAGCAAAAGAGGTGAAGTAACTCATGAACTACCCAAAGCCGCACAGGAGGGTAATGCCAGAGCACAACAAAGAATTCAGACCTCCCAACAGAAGCCTTTTCCCTGGATGACACTGGCCCATCACCTTCAGCGAAAGCATCATATCATAGAATCATAGAATGGTTTAGGTTGGAAAGGACCTTGAAGATCATCGAGTTCCAACCCCTCTGCCACAGACAAGGACACCTCCTGCTAGATCAGGTTGCTCAAAGCCCTATCCAACCTGGACTTGAACACGTGCAAGGATGGGGCATCCACAACTTCCCTGGGCAATTTGTTCCAGTGCCTGACCACCCTCATAGTGAAAAATTTCTTCCTTGTATTTTGTCTAAACCTCTGCTCTTCCAGTTTGGAGCCATTACCCCTTGTCCTGTCACTACATGCCCTATCACTACATACCATCGTGGTACTGAGGTTTCTGAGGAAAAACACCTGAAATAGCATCTTCCATGCAGTCATCTGGGAAATCTACTACAACCACCCATTCCATCTGAAGGTGTGGGCATAAGGAAGGAATGACAGACATCAATTTGGCCTTTGATAAATGGAATTGAACAAAGTGAGATGACTAAACCATGGAAAAAGAAGGAGGAACAGTTTTGACGGACTGGACTGACGTGGACTTAAAAACATGCTTTTTGAAGTCTGTTCAAGCAAAGAAAGCAATGTTCAGCTGGATCTAAATTACTACAAATCATCGTACATTCTATATCAAAAAGTTCCAGAGGAAATGGGGAAAAGAGGATGACAGACTTCTGACTAAAACCCTGCTAAGACTCTTACAAGTAGTATCATAACCTATCCCTCCAAAGAATGCAAACACCTGTATTTCTGGCTGAAGGCACTGCTTCAAAAAGGATGGTAATTTTTAGGTAACCGAAGAGCCTGCTGAAACCAATGGCTCAGCACATACAGACAAGCAAACCCACACAGCCAGTTTTAAAAATCAGTGACTTGGAAGGAGTAACTGGGATAGGAAATCAAAAGGATGAATGGAAACATAGAAGACACTTATGAAAACCAGCAAGAATGGCATAGAGCCCATTTATAATCTGTAAACACTTCTTTCCTTCTTATCTATTTTTAGTGGTGTAAGAGTATCTGTAAGAAAATAGTATGGTTAGATTTGGAGAATTTGGGCTCAGAACCCCATGAAAAAGACCCATTCAGATGTGCTTTCAAACCTTTCTCTCCTATTTTTTCCTATTTTTATTATACTGAAGTAAAATCAGTTCATTGTAACTATTTTATCAAGGTAGCAATTCCAGCATTTATTCTCCTCCTTGCAAGCACTGTATTTCAATATACAAAAATTTGGGGAAGGGAGATATTGTATTGTTCACTCCCGAATTACTGAAGAACTGACTTAATTCTTCAAAATGTGGGACTTGCTTCAGTTTGAAAACAATGCAATGAAATTATCTGGAAAGGATTCAAGTAGATCAAAGGAAAAGCACAATATAATGTTTGATTTAAGGCAACAGAGCTAGAAATTAAGATGGTATCTTGATTCACTTTTAAATGCAATTTGTGCCACTGAACTTTGATATCATAGCCCAATGCTTCTTTTATTCTTTATATTCTAAAAAATCAGCAGTTTATTTTAGCAATACCGTGACAGGAAAGAATTTGACTGTGTTTAAAAAGGAAAAAAAAATGGTAGATTTTGTAACTTTCTATTTATATCGCAGTGTAAATACAACATAACTTTAGCAATGTCCAAAACCATCAACAGTTGCACGTATAATCTAAAAATATGGGATCTAGCTTCTAAATGACATAAGGAACTCTTCTAATTAATATAGTAACAGCACCAAAATAACATCAAAACAGACGTGGGTGACAGCAAGACAGCTGCCAGTACAGAGGAATTTCAAGATCCACTATTTTATGAATGGCTGCACTACAGGACATAATTGGCCCTACACTGAAGACTGAAAGAGGTAAAGTTCTTTTGTAAATCTTTAGTGAATTTTAGTGCTTATTTTATGTTTCCCTCTAAAGGCATGCTAAAGACATTTCCTTCATTCTATCTGACGAAATTCTTCACTTACACCAGGCCCAATGTTCAAAAAAATCTCATAGGAAATTTTTGTACTCGCGCTACTCATACTTTTTTCTAGGCCTGACTATCATCTGATAGCGCCATATATGGTGCAATTACATTCTGCTACTCTTCCCTGTTTATTACAACTCTGGACAAAACTTCTCAGCTTTGTTTCAATGTTGTTTTTAAGCTACTGCTTGTTCTCATGCCATAACTGTAAATGCCAAAACCAAACCCGAGCTCCTGAAAATCTTTATTTTCTTTAATGCTTGCTTGCTTCCCCTTGTATGTTTTAAAAGAAAAAACTGCTTAGTTCTTTCTGCCCAATGATGTGAGAACTTTTCCTGAAGATGATTTGATCTTTAATGGAATTATTTTTCAGACTTCAAGTAATTCTTGAAAACTTTGTTAAAAGCAAGGTTCCCAGGTATGAAAATATTTTTGCATTCTTAATCCTTTGGCTGCATGCAAATCTTAATCCTCTGCATGCAAATACCTTCCAGACAATGAGTGCTCAACCTTTTAATGTTGGTCCATAGCCTACCATTTCACCTAGCTGAAAATAAAAACTGTAGATAAACCCTTAAAGCACACTATTTCATTCATATCTTTGTTATATCCAGTGTAGAAGCATGTGCTAGCCCTTTCATATGATAAAGATAGGAGTAGTTGATCAATTTTCTTGAACATAATTCTGAATTTCTTATTCACAATCACATTCCACAACATACAAAAAAGCAAAGCTTCCTGTTACAGGAGAGAGGAAAATCTGTTAATAAGACTGTAATTTGCTTTTCCTACAAGGTATGAAAATTAAAGAGCACTTAGTCAGGAATATAAGCAATATCCTTTCCTAGTAGCATGTTTAGCACAGTCTTACCGTTGTATCCTGGCACTGGTTTTCCTGCCTGTCCGGGTGGAGGTGTTGTAGAGTTCCCCAAACCAATACAGGAAGCAGTAATTGCTGAACCAGATTCTGTAAAGAGAACCCAAATATTGCCAGTTATGATTGTTCTTAGTGCCATTGAGTATTATTGGTTCTAATTTTGCTTCTAGTTCAGCACATCAAAATAATAAAATAAAATAAAAATCCCAGACAAGGAATGGATGATTTAGAATTCAGGAGCTTTATGTATTATCTAATGAATTTAAATTCATTATAGAAATTTGCATTCTTCAAAAGGGAGATTTTTCCATTCCACAGAAGACAGTCAGAAGTAAACACTTTCTGCATCACACCTGTAGTTTATTCTGCTATGGGTATAAGGTTACACCACAGCAGTAACAAACTACCTACGCAAAGCCATGATAGAAATACTGTGTAGGTCAGACATACTACAAGAGTTATTGCATGAGTCAATATGCTTAGGAAGAATGAATTCCAGGAAAAAAAACATCAATCCATTCTTGATTGATTATCTTATCCCTCTAAAGCAATATCAAAGTGTCCTGTTTTTGGAGCTACACATTCAGAGGTTTGGAAGGTGAATAAATGCCAAATCTTTTCCATCACAATATTGGTCAGGAAGAGTCAGAGAAGAGGTAGTGCCTAACAAAATTTACTGTAAATAATGAAGTCAGGAATACCTCTTTTATAATCCTGGAGTTCTCACTAGTATTTCTTGCTGACAACTATTTCAGATAACGAAAAGGCTCAATAAGAAATGGAGTAGAAAAGTCAGACCTAAATTTTCAGTGCTGCCAAAATAAACTCAAAAGGAACAACCTAAGGAATAGGAATCAAACTGCTGCAAGATTTTGTGATCATAATTCAGATGTTTTCTCCTCCTCCACCTACAGACATTAAAGTTTTACTAACCACAGCATTTTGGAGTGGGTTTATTTTGGGGGTGGAGAGGGGGACAGGAGAGATGCGAGAAGACAAATGTCTCTTGGTTTTTGAATCTTTGGCAGATATTCATTCATCTAACTGTCAAAAGATAAACTGAACACTGACACTGTGTGCCTTTGCTCCCTGCATGGAGCCCGTGGAAGGTAGGTCTGGAATCACCTCTGAAGCACCAAAGTAAAATACCTTGTTCAGAGCCTGCAAATATGACAGCATACATATCCCCTGTAATGCCTGTGCCTTCCTAATTATCCCCACAGCTAGCATCTAGAAATTCCTCTCTCCTCACCTTTCTCTTTTTCTTAAGAAAGCTCAATTTCACATAACGTTTTTATACTACAAGAGCTATTATTATAGAAGAGGAATAAAAACTATCAAGTCATACAACAGAGAGTCTAAGTTTCAAAAAAGACTAGTCACTCTTCTCTCCTTCTAAGAAAAAAAAATCTATAGAAATTACTTTTAAATGCTGCTGTAAACTCTGAGACACAGAAAACAAAGTGTAGGTGGTTGTAAATATTAGCAGGAAAACAGCATGAGGCCATTACTTTAAAAACATGGCTTTATCATTCTGGAGATGTCTGAAGTCTTAGGTCACTTGGCCTGGAATTCATAGTCCCCACTACTCTCAGGTGTCAGCACAACAAAGCAGGTTAGTCTTCAGCTCTATAATTACATCTGATCAGTGTGGTCAAAACTATTTTCAGTTCTCTTGCATTAGGAAATTACAGTTGTTTTTGCTGTGAATTTTCTCAGCTTTGATAGCATTCATCTGCCACTTCAGAAGTTGTTAAATCAGTATTCAAGTGCTAAAAGAAGCAAGAGCAAGAATAAAATTACAGAAACTTGTGGTGGGTTTACGTTAGGTGTTAGTAAGTAAGCTGAAAATTAGCATTACCATAGCATAGTCAAGCTAGGGCCTAACTCCAGCTGTGAGATACAGAATGAGAATTATCAACCCTCCATGCTAATAAAGACAGGCTAAAGAATCTGCTTAGCTGTTTCCCCATGTTTCCCTGTTCCTTCTTGTACATAATGCACGTTCCCCGCACGATCGCGGATCCTGGTCTTTTCTTCCAACAAGCCAAGCACCCAAGCTACAGTTACAGCGGTGACACAGTATCAAAATGATCTAACGACCTCATCCATGATCACACAGGAAGAGAAAGGCAATTTATTCAAGAGTTTGGGAGCTTCATTTTCTGCACAGTATCTATACTGAAGACTTTTTTCCTCTTTTCCTCAGAACAGAATGCAGAACAGTATTTTACTTAGAGAACAGTGAATTGGAAGAGATGGTAGAAGGGACAGTTTCGGTTTTGATTGTGTTAGGAGGAAAAGAATTGGTAGCATGGAGTACATCTTGCTTTATATATTGCATGGCAAGAGCTAAAAACCATACTGTAACAGATCAAGTGAGAAAGGTATTTTCCTGTCACCAAAACATAGTAACTTCATTTCCTACTGAGGGGTAGGGAACACAGCATCACTATTAACCTGATGTACCAGCAAGATTTTAATGAGCTGGGAACTGACAAACATTTCTAATCAAGTGGAGAGGGAGAATCTGAAATTTCTGAAAATTAGTTTGGATTTGCTTGACTCTGATACACTGCTAATGAAAACAATATAAACTAGACAGGAAACTTCATCATCCCATTTTGTCTGTATTTGTCCCCGTGTTTTGGACAACAGTGAATAAGACTGAATGAAAGCCCACTTATTCTAAACAAGAATCACAAGGTCTAAAACTTTGTGAATAGGTCTTTAATTGCTGCTATTTCTTCTATTGTCTTCTCAATTACCAGTGGATATATTATTTTCATATTTTCCCAGTGCTCTAATCTCTAAGATGTACATTCAGTTCCCATGCATCAATAAGACTTTTTATATACATAAAAAAAAATAATGTTTTTTTGGTGCTAGAACCAGATATTAATTCAGAAAGGGAATCCCAAAAGCATCTGCTCTTTGTGTTAGGTTAACAGTTCCTGAATGCTAAAGATTCCCTTACAATGTAGAAGCATGAAGGAGTACTTTCAAAGGATAGTATGAATCTTTGTGCTGTACATTTCTTTGGAAATCAACACGTATCTTCCAAACAGGATGCTGGATTGAAATATCAATTTCCCAAACCTATCACGAAACAGCAACCCCCTTCTAGGACCGCATTTTTAAATCACAAAAAAACCACTATGACTTGCAAGTGGAATTCAATTCAAAAATCACTGTTCAGAAGAATACATAAAAATAAGTATTGATGAGTCATTTTCCTTACCAATTACGTGTAACACAAGTTCTGTGTGGCCCTTTTATGTATTTCCAGTAAATAAAGTTGCTTAAGAATCTTTGGTTTCAATTAAGGTTGATTTCTTTATAATTCAAGTCAGGACCTATATATGCAGGTTACAAGACCCACATCTGAAAGTTAAAACAGCAACAGTTTGAAGATGGATAGCACTTGTCAAATGGACACTATTACACCTACCCCTTACATCAGGTTTCTGAATGTACAAATGGACACCCCTTTCCTAACACTCGTTTATAGTTGCAGATTCTCTGAAATTAATGTGCAGTGTCTAGACAGATTCCCATCGCTGAAGTCTTTAGAAACTTAAATACTTTTAATGGAAGGAACGGAACAGTAGATCTGTCTTCCAGTCAGTCCTTTCTGCCAATGTTTAGGCACTAACCTTCTGCTCACTACACTAGCAAGTTAGCTCGCCCTCCAGCTGTGGAAAGTTTTTCAGGGACAACTGCATCATAGACCCAATTTCCTTTTTGCACAACAGCTTATAATGTCACAGTGAAACAGCTATTTAGAAGAGCAATGTTTTATACTGGAAGAGCAATGTTTCGCAACTAGTCTGGTAGCTACATTCAACATCTGCTCTGAGTTACAATGGAATGAATATATATACCTCTGAGAATAATGAAAAGCACTTCACTGAGACTTGGAAGAGAGAGTTAGTGAGAGACCATCTTAAAATCATAGCTGTTAAAGTGTCCCAAGTCCCTCCTTACGTTTTTACTTTCAGGGCTAATGTAAAGAAATAACCCTCAAAATCCACAGCTATGACCTTCTTTGTTTTGTCCCACTCTACATGTAAGTGAAAGATATTATTTTAAAGATATTTCAATATTATTGAGCTATATTGGAAGGTTACGAGTAGCCCGATACAGGCAGTTTTTTGGCATTTGCACCTCTAAAAGCAATTCTTATGTCAGAAGGTGCTGCTGATGCAGAAGCAAAAAGTGCACTCTCTTATGAGTAGCAAGGGGAGTCTGTAAGAGTACACCTGACTTTACTTATCAGAAAGCTTCCAACTGCCCATGTACCTGACTTACAGAAGCTGTGCTTTGCCAAATGATGCAGAGCAACAGCTAGTAAGTTATGTGCTCAAAATTGTCTTGCTCATTCACAGTCAACAGTCAAGTTCAATCAAAATAAACAGCTTTGAAATAACTCAGGACTTGAAAGATGAAAAATGCCCTGTGCCACTTACATTCCTGATACATTATAATTTCTAGACCGTGTCTCATGTTCCTCAACATAATAGACTGTCACACTACTGAAATATTGTATTTTCTGGTAGGAAGTACTTAGTGAAAATACACTTCATTCTGACATTAATATTTGAGTTTGGGCTGCGCTAAGTGAGCAATGTAAGGCTGTCTGCTTTGAATTTAGGATGCAATGGATAGGCACTTGGAAGCATGCAAAAGAGATGGGAATTTGTTATGTGGCAGGAGGAAAGAGGAGAAGAAAAAGGAGCAAATGTCATACATTAACACATTAATGAATGCAATAAATATAACACACTAAATTATCACTGCGGCAGTGATGTTTTGAGCCATTCTCCCGGCAAAGCTGTCATTTTGGCTGAGGGGAATTAAAGGAATTACTACAGCAGAAAACAGCATGGATAAAACGGAGAGGAAGGTCTATGTAAGGGAGAAAGCTTAGGCAGCAACTGATAACAAATCCATCCACATAGCAAGAAGGCAGCTCTGAAGAGACTCCTTGCACATGCTCCCTCCACACAGTAGTCATTTTCATTATGTCAGAAAGAGGGGCATGAAGAACTCAATAAAATAACAGCAACATCCTTTCTAGTATAGCAACA